TGTATTTTTTAATCCTGAGAGCATGTAACTGGGAAGAAGGCTTGGTTGGTGAAGTCCTTGCTGCTTAAATCAGTGGGGGTGGCTCTAGGCTCCCAGCAGAGAGGTCAGAGTCAAGAAGGTCCCTGAGGCTTGCTGGCTAGTCACTCAGCTCCAAGGTCAATGAGAGACCCTAGTTCTCAGAAATAAGGCAGGCAGTGACAGAGAAAGTAAGATGCACCAAGGCTGCCCTCTGCCCTCCACATTCACCTGTGTGAATGTGTGTACAAAGGTGTACACACATGTACACATGAATATACCACACACATGCATATACTATACATAGACTGTACTATGAAAAGTTTACATGAACACCTGAGGGAGCTGTTCCACCCTTAGCCCTCACAAACCTACAAGTCAGAATCTTTTCTTTGCTTCCTGTCCCCTGACGTGTCCCCACCTCCCAAAGGGTCCAGCTTATGGAGAGCAGGAGTAGAGTTCCCAGCACCTCACTGTCAGAGCAAGCAAGGGACAGACAGATGTCTTCAAAGTTTGCAATGCCAAATGCTGTGTTGCTGCTCTCCGGAAGACAGAAGCACAGAGCCGTTTTGTGGTCACTTGGAGCTTCAGACGGAGGCTAAACCCCACCCTGGCTCACACTTACAAGGACTTCCCGGTTCCAAACTGTCACAAAACTCTTCACGTATAAGCCTGGACAGTACTACGTGGGAAGCTCCAGGGTATGGCGGGCAAATAAAGGGTTCTGATTTTCCTAAGGCTATGCCCTTCCAGCCACGGAAGTACTTACAGACATGCTTTGGAGGCTGCAAGGACAAGGGGGAGTTACAAGGAACAGGCTAAAGGTTGTTTAATTCCGTACTTTACTGATGACCCCCAAATACATCTGTACATTAGGATCGCTTAAGGTGAGTCTAAAAATTCATGTGTATGTGTACCGGCGGACCACCTGAGGGTAACATCTGGCCTCCACATGCACTTTCATGTGCACATGCACCTGCTCACACACATCTGTGCACACAATTCAGAGCCAAATCCTAGCTAGGAACCCACAGAATCAAAACCCCGTGGGGTCAAGACTCAGGAAGCTAGTTTACAGCTGAGTTCTGGAGTCCACTGACAATCTTCTCAAAACTCAACCGAGGACCAGGAGTCAGTAGCTCCACTGGCAGAGGATTCAATGCCCAGTGACACAAGAAAATGGCCACAGTGTGAACACCAGCTACCTCAGCACTTGGGAGGAGGCGGCAGAAAGACCAGAAGGTAAAGGTCATCTTCACGCCTTAACTGGCCCAACGTCAACAAGGAGATCTGTTTAGTCTGAGCAAAGGCCCTAATAGGTGTTGGTTGCCTCTGCCTTCAGGTACAATATAAGGTTCAATATAGGTATACTGCAGTTAATTAAACTCAGAAGCATTTATTCAATTAAATTCCATGTGCACGATGAGAAACACAATCTGAGCTATGCTTCTTAAGTACCTGCACTTCAGTGTATCCCAAAAGACTATGTCCTAGGGAGAAGGTTGGCAAGATTGTACATTTTTATAGACTCTTACAGTGTAGCTCCTTCCACATTTGCAGACAGTAGGCAATTATGACCAGATTTAGAAACATAAAAGCAAATAAATCCATGCTGTGAATACACTCCAGGCGCACATCTCCCTGCTCAGTGTTGAGTGTACAAATGCAGACAACTCCAGGGGCCTTAAGTGTAGGAGCAGCAGGCACAGAGCACAGCTATCACTGTGATGATGCGGGCGGGGCCAGGTCCCAGGTACTCAGGAGGCTGGCTGCATTTCAAGTTCAAGGACATGCGACCCCACAGAACCACTGCATTAGAGCTATGAGGGATGCTAACTTCAAACTGATTTTTTGTTTTGGTCTGTTTGTTTCTGAAGACAGGGTTCTCTGTGTAACAGCTTTAGCTGTCCGGAAACTTGCTTTGTAGACCAGGCTGGCCATGAGCTCACAGACACCTGCCTGCCTCCCAAGTGCTGGGATTAAAGGTGTACTCAAACCCATGATTTTATTAGTGAAAATACAGTTAATCTGAGTGCAGAGGCACACACCTACACAGCAGACAAGAGAGGAAGAAAAGCAGCAGAATGCCTTCATTCAAAGCCAGGTTAATCTACCCTGGAGTTCCAGTTACCCAGGGCTACAGAGGGAGACCCTGCATGATACACCACCCTCACCACCCCTCAAAATTAGTCAGGAAGACATACTACGTTCCTGGAATTGTACCATTCTCTCTTTCTCCTAAACCTGTAAGAAAGGACAATTGGCTGAAGCCACACAATGCTGACACCCATCAACTATGGGGAAAGAACAGCGAGCCAAATGCTCTATAAAAACAAAACTGGACGACATCTTGCATTCACCTGCTACCCCACATACATTTCTGCCTTCCTAACCCTGACGTGGGTGGTCTTGTGATACGGCTTTGTTAGCTTAGAGCCATCACGTGACGAAAACATAACTTTCATCTTATAGTTGAGCGAATAGGAGCAGAGAAAGATTAAATGCCTTTGTGCAGGTCACTGAACTTGACCACAGCTGTCAGAACCAGACCGTCGGATACTGGGGTGTACAGCAAGGCCACCACCACGTCACACTCTAAAAACCCGGTTCCCCGCTGTTCCCCAGCACGAATGGAGCGCGCATGGCCAGCACACGTGGGAGTCAGGTCCTATCTAGATTATGCTGTAGCACCTCTCCCATGTCCCTCACAGTGGGGCCAGGATTTTCTGACAGTCGTGACTGCCACCAGCTTCTTGGCAGCTCTGTCAAGCAGGAACCAAAGCTTCCTTCCTCCCCAGGATACAGCACACCGGGTCCTCATTTCAGTTCAACAGGTATCGACTGAGAGCTGAGTGCAGGTGAATGTTTGCTGTATAATCAAACAGAGACCACGCTTCCTCTAGAGGTGACAGCACACTTTGCCAGACTAGTCACGTGAGAGCAGTGACAAAAAGCGGCATTCACGCCAGTTCCTCATCGCAAACGACACAAGCCCTCTGGGCTTTCCAACCCCCGAATTCTGAGCCCATTGCCATGTCCACCTGACAAGTCGCTAAACAGATCAATGCTGTACCATGTAACTGGACCCACCAGTCCACATTCACTCGGGCATTGTTAGTCTGTGGGGTGCTTCTCAGAAAGCGGAGAGGGCATGGAAAAATCACAGTTCCCAGAGGGAACACTAGCGAATGACAAGGTCAGCCGAGTCGCTGCAGAGGGCTGTTTGTCAGGGTCGCTGTCGTAAAAGGGAGCTATATAAAGAAAAAGCATACTAACTTTAATTTTCTCAAGAAAATGCTACTCTCTGATTTTTCAAAAATAGTTCTTTGGTTGATTTGAGGGGACAGGGCTATGGGGGTGGGGGCAGACCCACTACATAGCTTAGGCTGGCCTCAAACTTGTGGCCACTCTCCTGTCTCATCTCACCACCACCTCATCCCTGACCCCATGCTGGAATTACAGGTTTGATTACCACACCCAGCTTCAAGTTTGCTTTGCCAGGAGCAGTCCCGGCAGTTCTGCTAGAGCCACCTGCTCCATAGGTCTGAGTTCTAAGAAGAGCAGTCAGCATTGAGAGGGAAGGCTGAAGCTTGGTTGGTTTGTCGCTAGGGTGACATTTCCTGTTTGGATGTGTCCAGACACAAAGATGGATGAAAACGTTTCCAGAATTCAGAGAGTAAAATCCAAAGTTTCAACTTACTCATCCACTTCCTTTAATACCTAAGTAAGCATGTGTGTCACAAAGCCCAGGTCTGAATGGGTCAGGATGAAATACCCGAGAGAAGTCCTTATCACCGTTCCCTGTCCTGCAACTACTCGGAGAGGATGCAGTTCTATTTAGATTTCCTTCCTCAACATTCAAGTTACCTAGGACATGAAAAAGCAAACTAAATTTTCTCCCTGTTAAGTCTTTCTTTTCTGGCTCTGTAAAAACCTTCGTTCTTGGCAGAGGGCGAACGGTTATCTACGGTTCCCATGGCCGGCCCCAGCTTTCTTCAGCCCACTGGGCTCCACAGAATTAGGTTCCAGGAGGATCTGATTGAATTCAATGTGCACACGACACTCGGTGAGCAAGGAGCCCACGTGCCCTTTGACTACACTGAGGAGGGTGCTGCCCGGGGAGGCAGGCAGGAGAATCAGAACTGTGTGCTTTGGAAAGACCAAGAACCATGAGACAGAATGTTCCAGATAACTGTGCATAACCTGGACTTCTCCAAGTGCCCTGCCATGTTAACTCACATGCAGTTCTGTAATGAAAGGAAAACTGAAGCTCATCTCATACCTTGCTTCTGGCGCTGACTGAGCTTAGGGAAGAAAATGAAGCCAGCCTTTTGAGTTTTTCACTCGAGGGCGGAAGTCAGGGTCTGCACAGCTAAGGGCGTAAGTTCGTTCATGTGGGGTAAAAATCCTGCTCAACAATTAGCCAGCGTCCTTACATAAACAATTCAAGACAGGAAACCTAAATTTCTCTAAAACTTTACCAGTCTCTTAATGCTAAGCTCTGAGTGCTTCCATCCACAAATTCCCCCGTGAGCCTGTGCATCTGCTCCCCCGCAGTTCTCCAAACAGGACGGCTTGCCCCCGAACATCTGCTTCTTCTACTTTTAATATTTTTCTGAAGCCAAAGAACTAATGTCCTTCAGCAGAGTAAAGCGAACACTGAGAGCCAGCTGCTCTTCCCAAGGATGGGGGCAGGGAAGAAGACACTCGTGGTGGCCAATGGCATGTCAAGGGAACCCAGAAAATGACTATCTGGAAGTGCAGTTCTGTTCAAGCTGAGCCCTTTTTTCTTTCTTTTTTTAAAGGATGGCCAATCACCAACAAGAATGCTGTCCTCAGAATTTAGGGAGGAAGAACAAGCAATTTCATCACCGAAATGGAAAACAAGAAGCAGCTAGCTTGGCATCCCACAGTCTTATCTCACAAGCAGTGCGTAATAATTCTTTGCTGGTGTTGTTTCCAAAATGAAAAGCAGATCAACTTACATGGCTCTCTGGCAATGAACTGAGGTACAGTGTTGGGTAAAGGAGTACTGGGGTTTGGAGTCCCTACGAGTTTGTTCTTGGCCATCTTCGTGTTTGCCTTAGCAAACTCTAGTCGTAGTGTTTGCGGGATTTCAGGATCGAAGCGTATGCCCTTTGGGAAAAAGAACAAATGGAAGATGTAAACCAGAATGGTGACAAAATAAACACACATGTAAAACTCTGGCCGATGTAACAAGGCCAGCAAGGACTCTTGTTCTCAGTATTTACACAGAACATGCAAAACCTACACTACAATGTGGCCAGAAGACAGGCAAGTGTAGCTCATGCCATCAGAACCTTTAGTTACGTGGACGTGCAAACATCCCTGCTCCTCCTGAACACTGTCTAGTCTGCCTTTTAAAATGCAGACCAGCAAATTCATAACACAGCTTAAAAACTGCGGCTGGAAAACGTGACCGATCCAGAGAGAGACATGCTGGGCCGCGCTGGTTTGACACCTGAAATCCCAAGCAGGCCGCACTCTAAATGGCATTATAAACAATGAAATTCTTTAGGGCTTTTACTGTCGGCTACCTATAAATAAAGAAAAAGAACTCTGTCTCCGATTCTGTTTTACAAAGGTAATATAAGTCCCTGTATACTCAGAACACAGAAATTAAACAGCTGTAATATTTTAAATGTAACTATTTTTATTTAATTCCAGTCATTGCATGAATTTGATAGGCTCAGAGTGGAAAAATCCTGACTTCTTTTATGGTTGGCTTGCAAGGTACAAGGAAACAAAAGACTCCACAGGCCTTAAAGAAAAGTAAGGTTAGTTCCCACCAGTGCCAGGGACCTTTAAAAAAGCAAAACAAAAACAAACAACGAAAACACGTTTCAGCCAGAGGCTAAGTGGCACTCAATTTCAGCACCTGGAAGGGAGGGGCACTTGGAAGGCGGCAGAGGCAGGTGAACTCTGAGCTCAAGGCCAGTGAGTTCCAGGACAGCCAGGGCTGCACAGAGGAAATTCTGTCCTGAAAAAACACAAACAACAACAAAAACCACGTTTCACTGAAACAGATTCCAGGCAGTCTAAACTACGAGATTTACATCAAGTAGATTTCAGGACTTTCTCCGTCAAGAATGTCTCCATTACCGAGCAAAGCTAGGAGCCTAATGAAATCCATTCCATGCCAGGAATCCTAGACATTACCATCAAAAAGGCACTCCAGATTGGACTCCTCGTTGTCTCAGTCCTAAAAGTGGGGTGTGCTAAGAACACGAGCTTTTCATTTATGTGGGCCCGATGGTCTCTATATCCCTCTCTTTTGAGAACTTCATGAGTACGGTATATATAGCATCCCTCCCGCCACTCCCCACCTTCCTTCACTATAAGAAAAGTTAGGGTTGTTTCCACAAGTAATAGACTATCTGGAGACCAGAATGAACGATTCTGACTTCACAAGTTCAGTTCCGAAGACATAAGGAAAAACCTGATAATAACAGGAACAGGGAGGAAGTGGTCAGCTGCGGTCAAACAACAGCGTCTCAACCCAGAGTTTGTCCCAAGTGTGAAGAACTTATTCCTGACTTGATTATTTTGGGGAAAGAAAACCATTAAGGCTTAAAAAACACAGCAAGGGGGCAGGGAGCGTTGCACTTGTAGAAATTGAACCAACCAAAGTCAAAGAGAGAAGTTCTGTGAAATAAAACGAAAACATGGACCAAAGCTAACGCTGCGGTCCTTAATCGGTAAACCTCTGGATTGTATCACAAGAACACACACGAGGAGACACAAGTCTGAAGCAGCATTGCTTCCGTTCTGCCAACAGACAAGACACACTTTATCCTCTGTCAAACCTATTAGCACTGGTTCACATCAATAATCTCAGCACTTGGGAGGAAGCTGAAGCTAAAGGATTATGGGCGTGAGTTCAAGGATAGCCTGGGCTACAGAGTGAGACAAACAAACGGTAGGTAAAGTTACCCTTGCATCGAATATGGACTAAAGAAGTGTCTTTCTTTGCGGAGAGGCAACTGTGTTCCCCTGCACATCTGCACCAAAGCATGGCAGACACACAATAGTTGCAGCAGACACTTCAGGGGTCCTCACCAACTTTCTTTGGAAGCATCTTTTTAAAGCCTGAGCCTGCAACAACCTGAGACCTAGTAACAAACGCATTCATTCCGGGTCCTCTCAGGAGCCTCCTGGGGTAGAACCTCTGAACCCTATGCTTCAGCTCACTTATTGGAGTTCTAGAATCCAAGGCCATCACTGTACTCGCCCCTTGTGCAGCCAACCTAAAACATACTGGAGCAAGTCCCCCTCCTCCCTGCCCCCTTCTCATACCCTTTCTCTTGTCTGAGTTAAAATAACATCAACATCATGTTCCAAATCAAAGTTCCAGCATCTTATTAACAAAAACAAAACAAAACAGAAAAGCTCAGAAGTTAAAATGACCTAATTTGTTTGGCAGCTTATTGGGAGGCCAGAGGCTCAGAATACAAGTCACATTCCGCCAGCATCTTTAGCAGCAATACCATATTTGGTAATCAATATCCTGCTCCACTAGGTTTCTATCCATAGGGATTAGCCAAGTCCCAAACATTTTAAATGGTACAGGATGATGAGCTGGGGGAGGGAGAACATGCAAGGGGAAGGGAAGGAAAGAAAGGAGAGAGAGAGAGAGAGAGAGAGAGAGAGAGCGCGCGAGCATGCCATGGGAGGAAATACCTTGTGCTTTTAATTAAAGCCTAGTAAGATCCCTCTCTGGCTAGGGAAATGTGGTAATGAATGATGTGGAGGTGAGAGGACAACCAAACGGAGGGACTCTGCTGCTAAGAATCAACTTCGGCCCCTCCAGCTAACAATTTATCAAAACGCTATTAAGGTGAAAAGACCCTTTCTATTCAAAATGCAAATGGCAGGGAGTTTACACAGATCAGAAAAAGACCTGTTCTAGATATCAACATTAACATGGGGATAAAGATATTATCTTTACAAGCCACTCAATCCAGCTGCTACAGGGGCCACAGTCTCCAGCAATCCGGGTTAGGTATATCCTGGAGGTTGAACAGGGCAGCCTGTGTATGAAGACACAAGGCTACAGACAACGTTGGATCCTTGGTAGTCTACTGTGCGGCAGAGAACGCGAGGGCAGTTTCATGAAAAGCTAAGTGCCTGGGAGAGCAGGGAAAGCATGGTGAACGAGCAAAGGGCCAAAGGTCACCAGGCAGTGAACCACAAACGGCAGAGGGAGTGGGCATAAGCAAAGGTGAGGTCACACCGGGGCTGGTCAGGCCCTGGGGGCTCTGCAGTCCACGTGGGGCTGGGGTCCCCACACAGCAGTGCCGTCAAGACCAAGTGAGGGGCTTGCTTTGTTTGCAGTGCTGGGCCACTGTGTTTCTGGATGCAGCATTTCTGACACAGGACTGGAAACCGACGTATCCAAGACTGTTGAGTGATGTTGTGGCCACCTATGCAGTGGTCATGTGATTCATGGCGGCCAGTGGTCTTTTTACTGTGGTGGGAAAGATGAGCTCCATGAGAATCCACAACAGGATCTCAGAGACCAGACAGGAAGTCATCAGGGCAGTTGGTTGAGAAAGCAGCCTAACGGGTCCTTCTCCAGACCAGGTACCGGGGGACCAATGTCTGTGCACTGTGCCCTTGCTTCTCTGACCACAGCTGATCACTTAAGGGATAGATGCTTCCCAAAGTGACTGAACCATCTTTCTTGGGATTGAAACCCTGAAGACACAAAAACGAAGGTGGCCAGAGCCTTGCCTCTCGTGGAGAGCAGTTGTCCATTTGGGGTTCTTTGTAGCACACTAATGCCTGGGAGAGGGGTTAAAACTAGTGCAGTAAACAGAGTCTGTGTCTAACTGTCTGCCCAAGCTGCATAGTGAGCATGCCTATCAGTCCTCAGCAGGGAGTTTAGGGGTAGTAGAATCATTTACGGAGGGGGGGAGGGAGGGAGGGAGGGAGGGAAGAAACCAGTAAAGAATGAGGCAGTAGTGGCACACACACACTTAAAAGATACTTGTGGGTTGGTTATATTAAGTTGTGTAGAAAAGGGAGAGAGAGACAAGCACAGATTGGGTTATTTGAATTCTTACATACTTTAATTTAAAGCTGTAATTGATAAAATCCGACATAGTTATTTCCAGAAAAGGGAAAGACAAGGCTGGCATGATGGCCATGAATCACATGATCAGTAAGGCTGCTGGCTGCAAATTTCCCTAACCTGAGTTGGATCCCAAACACCCACAGCGGAGAGAGGTTTTCTCCTCTATTTCCATGAGACGTCCTCTGACCTCCATGGACGGACATGCCGTGGCAAGAACAAAATAAATAAAACAAATCCTTTTTTAAAAGGAGCACGTCTGAGGCTGGCATTTGAAGGGTTCCTCCTTATAGGGGGGGTGGGAGGTGGCACCTTTAGTCTCAGCACTTGGGAGGCAGACAGAACTTGAGTTGGAGGCCAGACTGGTCTACAGAGGGAATTCCAGGACAGCCAGGGCTACACAGAGAAGCCCTGCCTGGGGCGGGCGGGCGTGTCTGTGTGTGTGTGTGTGTGTGTGTGTGTGTGTGTGTGTGTGTGTGTGTTCCTTATGGAGGGCTATATTGCCCAGAGCAGGGCCATGGTAGGCATACAACACTCAGCTGGCATTTTCTGTTTATCTTAAAAAATTATGCTGGGCCAGTGAGATGGATAAAGTAGATAAAGGTGTTTGCCATGTGATGACCTAAGTTCCATCTCTGGAACCGCTGTGAAAGTGGGAACAAAAATCACCCCACAACCTTGGTCTCTGGCTGTCACATGTGCCATGGCTGCCTATCTTTTTAAAAGTTACTGAGAAATTACTCCCAATTTAGAGAACGGGTACGTAGCACAAGAAATTCCACACACAAGTCCCTGAGATGCTGACATATTACCACACATACTTTATCTTTCTACTCCTCTTCTGCCTCTTTCGATAACTTTTACCACTATTTAAGTTTTATGAGTAATGCATTAACTTTACTGCAGTTTGACTTCCTAAAAATAAGAACCATTCTGTGTTTTCTGACCCAGGACCTATCCAAGAATTACACAGGGCATTTATCTGTCACCCGCTCCATCTCCTTGACATTTAATACCAACTTTGCCTTATAAACTCTTTCTA